TGTTGTTGTTGTTTAACTTTTTTTTTTAAAAAAAAGATATTTATAATTGTTGCCATTGTTGTTATGTGATATCGAGTCAACTAGAACTCATAGCAACCCTATGAACAATGGCTCAGAACCTTGCCCTGTCCTGAGCCAACCTCACCATTTCTGACATATGTGACCCCATTGCCATAGTCACTGTATCAGTCTGTTTCATCCAGGATCTTCCTCTTCTTTGCTGTCCCTCCACCCTTTCAAGCATGATGTCTTTCTCCAAGAACTGGCCCCTCCTGGCAGCATGCCCAAAGCATACACAGAGCTTCAAAATCCTTGCTTCTAGGGAGGAACCTGATTTCACCCTCTCCAGAACAGACCTGGTTTCTCTTGACAGTCTGTGGTATGTTCAGTACTCTTCTCCAGCACCACAACTCGAAGGCATTGATTCTTCTTCTGTCATCCTTAGTCATTGTCCAGCTCTCAGATGTATAGCAAGCAATTGCGAAGACTATGGCCTGGATCAGGTGTACCGTAGTCTCTAGACTGACATTGCTCTTTAGCACCATAGAGTGGTCCTTGACAGCAGATTTTCCAAATGCAACTCTGCTTTTCATTTTCTGACTACTGGTGCCAAGAGTGTTGATTTGTGGCTCCAAGCAAGGTGAAATTGTTAACAACCTTACTCTTTTCTCCATCATGATACTGCCTATTGGCCTGGTGGTGAGGATCTTTGTTTTGGTAGTACAAAAGTCTGTCATGGGATCACCAGCCTTATTTCTACAACCAAGGATGTATTTTTCTATCTGCCAATTCTTTCTTTCCAACTTTTGCATGCCAGTCACCAGTTATTAATGTATCTTGATTGCATATTTGGTCAATTTTAGGAGCTCTGGAGGCCTACGAGTATAGAAGTTGGTAGAAATTTTTCATCTTTGATGAAGTGTGTAGTTGAGTAACACTTGTATTAATAAGTCTTCTTTGTATGAATATATGATATTATCTTATCACTGACAGCATTGTTCTTTAAGGTAGAGCTTGAAATGTTCTTTTTGATGATAGATGTGACATCATCCCTGTTCATTCCCAGCATAGTAGATCTTATGATTGTTTTATTCAAAATGACCAGTTCCTGTCCATTTTGGCCCACTAATGCCTAGGAAGGGAGTTCTAGTAGACTAGTGGGTAAGGAGTTGTTTTGCCAATTTAGAGGCACACAGTTCAAATGCCCTATCTGCTGCTCCACAGGAGAAAGATGGATAGGCTCCTTCTATGGGAGTTATTGCCTCAGAAAATGTGCTCAAGGGTTAACTTTGAGTCAGTTCCAGCTCAGTGGCACATAACAACAAGGCTATGATATGATCTTCATGCCTTATATTTAATTTTTTATAGCCTCCAATTTTCATTTTTTCCCCCCGTGGGGTTGTCAAAGGATATTTTTTTAAGTGTGATTTTTAATGAAAGTTTACAGAAAGTTTGAGGTTTTTTTCTTTCTTTCTTTTTGTGTGTGTGCATTTTTTATTGCTGTCTTCTACTCTTTTTTTCCCGATTTTTAAAAATTTTTAAAAAATAATTTTAATGAACATTTACAGAGATTTTGGATTTCCATTCATTCATTGCTGCACTTCTCTCCCTGCCCCCCCCCCCAGTTCGCTCCTCTCTTTGGAAAGTAAAATAAACACTCTCTCCCTGGTACACAATCCCCCCACACCCCTCCCACTGCCCCAAGTACATTCCACTATGCAACCTTAATTGTGGACTCTTGTGATAACCATAATACCCTATCATACATTGCTTTTAAATTATTCTCTCCCTCATCTGTTTCAGTGTAGTATACACAATTTATCCAGTTTTTCTCAGTCTTACCACAACCCTGATATCAGTCCCATTTTACAACAGTGGCATCATGCGATATTTGTCCTTTTGTGACTGAGATATTTCACTCAGCATAATGTCCTCCGGGCTCACCCAGTTTGAATAATAGTGAATGAGTTCCTTGTTTTTCAATGCAGCATGGTATTCCATTGTGTAAATATACCACAGCTTCTCTATCCATTCGTTTCTTGATGGGCACCTGGGTTGTTTCCAACTCCTTGCTATTGTGAACAGAACTGCGGTAAACATGGGTGTGCATAGAAAGATTGAGGTTTTTATTCCCTCATTGTTGCACATTTTCCTCTCTCCCCCTTCCCCAGTCTACTTTGTAATACACACCTTATTCCAGATTCTCAACTGTCACATATATAATGCCCAATTATACATTTCCCTTCCGTCAGTCCTTCCCCTCATCTGTTCCAGTGCAGTGATCAAAATCTAGTCACTCTTTCCTGTTCTCCCCCCAACTCCCCATTTCAGTCTTATTTTTAACAGGTGTTATGCAGTTATTTGTCCTTTTGACTAAGATATTTCACTCAACATAATGTCTTCGAGTTTCCTCACTCATGTTGTTTAGTGTTTTACTATTTCATTGTTTTTAAGTGTTGCATAATATTCCATTGTGTGACTGTACCACAGTTTTTCTATTCATTAATTTGTTGATGGGCTGTTGGGCTGCTTCCATCTCTTCACTCTTGTGAACAATGCTGAAGTAAACATGGCTGTGCATAATCTGAGTTGTGGCTTTGGTTTCTTTAGGGTATATTTCTTGTAGTGGAATGTTGTTGTTAGGTGCCATTGAGTTGAGTGTGAACAAACTTCCTGACACAAGAGCCTATTGTGGCAGTCGCTGTGTCAATCCACCTGGTTGAGGGTCTTTGTCTTCTTTTCCAACCCTTCCCAACATCATGTCCCTCTCCAAGGAATAGCCCCTCCTAGCAACATGCCCAGAGTATGTGAGGCCAAGCCTCATCATTTTTGCCTCCAAAGAGCACTCTGGGTGAATCTTCTCCAAGACATATCTGTTCTCTTGGCTGTCCTTGAGATGTTCAGTGCTCTTTTCCAACACCATAGCTCAAAGGCATTCTTCTTCTGTCATCCTTATTCATTGTCCAGCTCTTAGATGCAGAGCAAATGATTGGAAAGACTATGGTCTGAACCTGATGTGCCTTAGTCCCCAAACTAACATCATTACTCAATAATTTGGAGAGATCCCTAACTGCAGATTTTCCAAGTGCAATGTATCTCCTTATTTCCTGACTGCTGATATCAAGGGTGTAGTGGAATAGCTGAGTCAAATGATATTTATATTTCCAGCTTTTTGAGAAAGTACCATGACCTGGTGCTTGACCACCTACTATAGTATTTGTACCATCCTACATTCCCACCAGTAGTGAATACGAGTTCCAATCTCTCTAGTATTTGTTGTTTGCTGCCCTGCCACCTGCAGAAAACTTAAACAAGACCCACACCTCACACCATACACAAAACCCAACTCAAGGTTGGACCAGGGATCTACGAGTAAAACCAGACTATAAAATTCATCAGAGAAAAGCTTAGAATAACTCTAGAAGCCCTAATCTACAGCATGAACAGACTTCCAAACATAATGAAAAATCTACAACCAGGAGAGAATTTAAATAGATGGATTGGACCCTCTAAAAGAAAATCCCTATACAGATCAAAAAATTTCTCCAACAGGGTAAAAGCAAACCCACAGATGGGGGGGGGAGCAGAATTTGACAATAGCATATATTATAAGGGACTCCTATCTGAAATTTATAGAATATTCTAGAATTTCCATAAGAAAAAGGCAAACAACCCAGTCATACAATAGACACAAGATATGAATAGAAACTTCACCAAAGAGGAAATTCGGATTCAAAATTCTTAGCTATCAAAGATGCAAATCAAAACAACTGAGAATCCACCTCATCTCAACAACTCTGTTTTCTCATTTTCAAACTTTGTACATTCTATGTTCTAATTTTTAATAGTTGTTTGCAGCTGATTTTCTTCATTTTGAGTTGTACCATATCAGCAAATGAAGGTCCTTCATTAGCTCAAAGGTTTACCCCACCCACATATTTAGGGTAGAGAAAGATACTTTCTCATTTCATCACCTTTCTTCTCATCACTTATGTATATGTATTGATTTAGAAATGAAGTTCTCCTGGGTTGAATTGTTTGTCCCCAATATACATGTGTGTAAAGTTACAACTGTGTCATGATCCACTGTGATCTGTTAAACCACATAGTTGTAAGAGGTTCTAAGGGTAGACTGCAATACCCCTTAATCTTCTCACATCCCCTTAGGATATATGGAATTTCCCCTAGGTTGTAGCTGGTAACAACTTTTTTCCAGAAGAGATAAAAATGGAAGAAAACAAGATGAAAGGGGGGAACTGAGTACCACCAATAAAAAAAATCATCAAAAGTGTATGGAGTGCATCCTTTGAATTCTGATCCCTGTATTAAGAAGCTCCTTGATACCCATGAAGGCCAGGCAATACACATGGAAATCTCTGAGGGACTCAAAGCCTTCCTCCAGAACCAACACTGAGAGAAGCCTTCACTCCCTAGAGCTGGCACCTCTGATTTCGATTTCTAGCCCCTTATAAACTGTAAGAAAGTAAATTTCTGTTTGTTAAAGCCACTTGTGGTCTCTCTGTTATAGCAGCATTAATTTTTGTTGAGAGGAAACAGACTTTGAAAAAGGACAGGCTGGGAAAGGTGGAAGGTCAGAGAAAGAGGAAAATCCTCTACAAGATGAATTTACACAATGATGGTAACAATGGGCTCAAAGAAATTGGAGATGGTGGGGATGGCACAGGATAGGGCAGGGTTCGGATTTGTTGTTCATAGGGTCACTGAACCTTAGTTGACTCAGTGGCACTTAACAACAATGACAACAGATTACTAAAATAGCAGTCATCTCTCCTCTCACCCTGTGGAATCCTTTACCCTCCTGCCCCACGGGATTATGTGAATATTTAACTCTCAGACTTAAAATTTAGTAATACTTAAAAATATGACTGCATTTGGCCTTAATATGAGTCCTGAGGAAATTTCTGTTTTCCATCCAAAAATACACATGGGGGTGCAAAAGAAGTAATCTCTGAAAGACTTACCTATTCCTTTGTTTCCAGGTCTCTTGGTGGGACTTGTACTGCGATATGGCATTCATGTTCCAAGTGATGTAAATAATGTGACCCTGAGCTGTGAAGTGCAGTCAAGTCCAACTACCTTATTGGTGAATGTTAGTGGAAAATTTTATGAGTATACGCTGAAAGGAGAGATCAGCTCACATGAACTCAATAATGTTCAAGATAATGAGATGCTTAGAAAGGTAAGTTATTCATTAAAGACAGTCTTTGGCATTTTTCCCCCCTCCCCAAAATGTGTAACTAGAAGGGATTCAGAAGAAAGAGAATACTTTTTTAACTATATTGAAAATAAGCCTTTAAAATAAAGTCAAAACTCACTTAATGATAGTAATATAATGCTATGGAAATGGGTATGTCTGTAAATGTTATTTTCTGATTGCAACTACATACAAAACCCCTTTTTGTTTCACTTGGTATTATTTGCAATTATAAATAAATGGTGGGCAGTATTGAGTTAAGCAGAATTCATGGGTGTTTGTTTCATTTTGTAGCTGATACTTAGAGTTTTATAGCATTTCAAGAACATTGATTTCATCTGCTAATACTTTTAAAATGACATTAATTTAACATAATAGTATTTCTTTGAATTATTTCTTGCCTTGATGATATTCTGTACTGGGCAGGATTTAATCATCCTTTGGCTTATTAGTTGGCACAACTTCAAGGACCTTCATTTGAGTATCAGTTATTGTACTGTGCTGTGCCTAATGACTTGTGTAGGAGGGTTGGGTTGTGTCTCACTGGCTTCCAGAAATTCCTGGAGCTGATCTCTCTGGTGGCCCTCCTCCTTCTCGGTGCTGCTATGCTCAGGGCCCTTTGTTCTTGCCCACCCTTCCTTGTTTGCCTCCACTGCTTCCATCTTCTGCATTGGAAACACTTGGCGTTTTATAGTTTCTTGGTTGTGTTCCTGACCATCTTTAATGGCTTCAAATTTTTTTTAATATGGAATCTCTTTTTTTTATTATTATTTTTGTATGAGTGTATCATCAAATCAGATCTGACTGGTACAGGAGGAGATTGTCCCTCTTTTCCCGGCAGAGCATCTGGTGGGTTCGAATCGTGCACCTCTGGCATTGTAGTTGCAGCTCCTTGCCACTAGGCCACCAGAGCTCCACCCCGGCTTCAAATTTTTGTATAAACTTTATTTTGCAACTACAGTTCTTTCCACCTGGAGAAAATTCCAGTTCCTTAGACTAGTCAGCTGTAATTTAGCGTAGGTATATGTGGAGCCTCTTTGCATTCATATAAAATCCATCCTCTTGAAGGGATGCAGCATTATTAAATGTAATCCATCTTGAAGGAAGTAGCCTGTCAGACTAGAAATATGTTTTGTGTAGGGACTGTTTACCATAGTATTATGTTGTATACTTTTAAGGTATCACCTGTGCACCGAGTCTTGGTTCTTCATGTTAACTATAATGCTGGACCTCAAATTTTATGTTAACTGTTTTGAATCTCTGTCTTCTTTAAAGTAAAAAATATGTTCATGCTTTCTTCTCTGTTCAGGGTTTTTAATATCGTAGTATTTTAACACACTAACACACTTTACACAGGCAAAATGGAATACATTTTCCTAAAACTCTCCTTGCTATTTGGTTGGGAAGTGGGTTTTTTTTACCACATTAATATCCTTCCTTACCTTTGATCAGTTTAACATTTTCATTTCTTCCTGATAATGTAACATGAGCTCTGAAGACATTCATCTAAAGAATTCTGTTTATTTCCCCAGGTTACTTTTGATCCAGAAGTATTTTTCAACATATTACTTCCTCCTATCATATTTTATGCAGGATATAGTCTGAAAAGGGTAAGTGCTTTTGCATTTCACATATAATTTGAAGAAACTTACACTCCATGGACTTTATAATATTTGACACTTCAGAAACAAAGCACCCAGTTGTTTCTAGGTTCCCCTCCCTTTCCCCCTCCATTTGTTTTAATTTCTAATCCTTTTTAGATGCTAAAATTTATGCCTGTATAAGAATGCTTCCTCTCATTTTCTTTAATGAATAATGCATTTAATATTAGCATAGCACACTAGAATAGAAAGCTTTTTTCTTTTTCAAAGAGTTGTTAAGTCTTCTAACACAGTGCAACCTTTTTTTCTTTTTTTTTGTCAGAGACATTTCTTTCGAAACCTTGGCTCTATCCTAGCATATGCTTTTCTTGGAACAGCAATTTCTTGTTTTGTTATTGGGTAAGTAAGTACTTGATGTACAAAAAGCTTTTAGTCTTGAAATGATAATATTTTCTTTTAGTATGTGTTTGCTTTACCCAGCACCGTATTCCTGAGGACTGTGTGAGTAAACTGTATTCAAATAGATAATATTCCCTTGAGGTCAAGATATTACCACATTAAAATGGCATGGATCAGGTATAAAATTAATCAAAAGGTACTACTTTATCCCAATTTTCTTACTCTGTGAAAGCTGATGATTTTTCTAAGGTAGGAATATTTTCATTTAACAGGTCAATAATGTATGGCTGTGTGACACTGATGAAAGTAACTGGACAGCTTGCAGGAGATTTTTACTTTACAGATTGCCTGCTGTTTGGTGCCATTGTTTCGGCAACTGACCCAGGTATTTTTTTCCTTTTTTAAAAAATTGTAATTTGATTGAGTGAAAGTTTACAAAGCATATTGGGTTTTTTTCCAAGCAATCATACATGTGAATAAATAAAATATGGAAAATTTTGTTCCATAACATTAATTGCAATACACACATTGTGTGATCATCCACTCATTCACCCTTCTCTTTCCTTTGCTGGGTATGTTAGACAGTTGTCATTGTTGGCAGAACTGACTCAAAGCTAACCCTCCAGTGGGTTTTCAGAGGCTGTAAATCAAATCACAAGGGAGGACACTGCCCATCTTTCCCCTCAGAATAGATGCTGGATTCAAACCATGTGCCTTTGGGTTGCCCAGAGGCCACCCCTATTTGATAGCAGAACGGAGCTTGCTTAAATACTTAGGATACAGTGTTTTACAGTTAAAGCAGATGTAGGTATTTCTTCCTTTGAAGTGCAAAATTCATGATTAGAAACTTCTCACAGTACTATACTTTCCAATTATTAACGAAAACAAATAATGGTTTCTTATTAAGCACATATTTCATTTTTCCTTTTACTTGGTTTACTGTATTTGCCCAGTCTTGGTCTCTAGTTTGATGCTATTTAATTAAGGACTATAAAATATTTTTATGTAGTTTGATTGAGCTCTGACTGTAGTTAGTATGGGAGATTAATGAAAATGGATAATAATTATTCACTTCTTTCAAACTTCTAGAAAACCAGTTCCCTAAAAGTCTTCTGTTTACTTTCTGCCACCTGCATTAAATATTAAGAAAAAGAATATAAATGATTGTTGGAGACAGTTGTTCTAATTTATGTATATAGTAATTTGGGGGTATTGTCAGACTTTAAGGGCACTGTGGTGACATCATTTAGGGAGTTGTGCTGCTAGCCCAAGACAGCACCTCTCTGGATGCTTTGAGGAAAAAAGAAGGGTAGTCTCCTCCCTCATAGTTTATAACCTCTGAAAATCTGCTGGAGGGTCAACTGTGAGCCAATTCCTACCTCAATGGCAGTGATTTTGAGTTTTTGTTAGGTTAATATTTACTATTTTATTTTGTCATATTTGACTTGTTGGGTACCGTTAAGTTGGAACTGATCCATAGCAGACCCTCTGTTGGGTTTTCAGAGACAGTTAATTGCTTGGGAGAAGATTATCTATGCTTCTCCCACAGAGCAGCTGGTAGCCTTGAACCACATGCCTTCAAGATTGCAGCACAACTTCTTGCCACTAGGCCACCAGAGCTCCCTATAATTAATTGTTTATATCAGATTGGACTTTGGGTTATAAAAATTATTTTTATATTAGTATAGCTTATTTCCTCTGTGCTTTTTCATGTCAACTTCTAAACAATCATGCTATGGAATGAATCTAATTTCTGTGAATTAGGTTTAATATTTTTGTATAATATTGCTCACAGGAATTAAGTTCTTCAACTTCTCAGAGCCTGTGAGAACTCAAAATTGATCCAGCATTATTTTAGCCTTCTAACTTTGTTTTGGCTATTGTTTGAATAGCTCTAGCACAAATCTTTTGCTTACATAAGTTGGAAAGTATTTATATATATATTTGGCTGGAATCCAGTTTGGAAGTCATCTGCAGCTGCTGGATTCTACAGAGGTTTTTTGGGTTTTTTTTGCTGGTTCTGGTAAGGATTAGGGGAATGTTGACTCGCTAGTGGGTGTGAGATGATTTGATTCAGCCCATGGTGGACAGTGTTTGGTGGAGCTTCCTGATTACAACAAGCTTGGAAGCAGGAATGGCATCCACTTCTGAAATAGCTTGCATCTGGAAACTCTAGGAACATGGAGAAACAATGAATTATACAAGTGTTCAGGTCTTTCATTCATAGGTTCACTTTGAGTCGTCAACGACTCGATGGCACTTAACAATAACAACAACATAGAGAGAGCTTTGTTGTCCTAGTGGATAGAAAGTTATGTTACCAAGCCAAAGGTGTGCGATTTTAATCTGTGGCTCTCAGGCCTGGTTTTAATAGTTTTTGGTCAAACATTCTTCTAAGTGGTCGAGCACTGGTCTGTTCTTTTGCTGCATAGAGGTAACTCGTGATTGTTGTGATGCTGGACCCTGTGACACTGATGTGTCAAATGTGAGAATGGTTACCCATGGTGGACAGTGTTTGGTGGAGTTTTCCGATTAAAACAAGCTTGGAAGCAGGAGTGGCATCCACTTCCCAAATAGCTTGCCTCTGGAAACTCTATGAATATGGGGAAATGAGTTGTCTAAGGCTTGACAGCACTTAACAACAACAACTATATATGTGTATATATTAATATAAAAATATATAAATCAATCTCTCTCTCTCTCTCTCTCTCTCTCTCTCTCTATATATATATATATATATATATATATATGTAAAATTTGTCTTTTTCTTAATTCTGTAGGTATAGGCATTTGTCCTAATTCTGTGGCAGGGGTGTGCCATACATTCTTTCAGAATTCTGTAGTGTGGTGGTCACTCTGCATTTTCCTCTCTCTTCGTAAGCTTCACTATCAGTACATTCCGGAGGAAATGCTTTACAGTAGAAACTATATAATTTTAAATGTAAGCTTCCTGTTTTTAAGGTAGCATTAGAGGAGACACTCCCATCTCTAGTTATAGTAATCTTTAGTGTTGACTTGGGTTTATTTAGCTAGTGAGCTGATGTGACTCAGCAGCTAAAGTTATAATGCAATTTCTCTCTCATGTTTTTTAAGGATTCTTACATAACAGTTTACCTAAAAAGAATTTTTTCTTGTCTCCTCATACTGTACTATCCTGATAGTTGTGTCTTATATGAAATGTGGCAGCTGTGATTCAGGCCATATATATTTTCCCCAACTGGAAACGAACCCTGTGTTTCATTTCCTCAGTCTCTGCTAAACTAGTGTGCTTGAAATTTGCAAGTCAAATAGGAGTGAGTTGTAGGTTCTAGGTGAAAAATGATGTTTTCAGTAGGAGACACTTTTCATAATCTTTATCATCAAAGATTAATGATCTGGTCTGTAAGAAATTAAAAATCTGCTCTTCAAGGAAAAGAAATGTAGAAGAGAAGTTTATTAATGTTTCTGAAGAATGAATGTCTAGCCAGTCCTTTAAGGTTAATGGTAAGAAGTTGTGTCGCCAACTCAAAGGCAGGCAGTTTGAGTCCACCAAGTTCTCTATAGGAGAAAGTTGCACAATCCCCTCCTGTTTAGTTTACCACCTCTGAAACTCTGCATTAACTCTGACTTTATGGCAGTGAGTGGGGTTTTTTTTTTGTTTGTTTTATTTTTAATGAATGTACATAATTAAGGAAAAGAAAAATATTCTGGAATTACTGTCTTTTATATGATAAAGGAATGTTTATTAGGTTGGATTTCTAAGAAATATGAAATTGTTATGAAACTGTTATGATTGCCAATTGAAGGTGGTATTATTATTATTATTATTATTATTAATGCTTGGCTCTTTCCAACTTGCTAGTGACTGTTCTTGCCATCTTCCATGAGCTTCAAGTCGATGTTGAACTCTATGCGCTTCTTTTTGGTGAAAGTGTCCTCAATGATGCTGTTGCCATAGTGCTTTCTTCGTAAGTGTTTGTTTTCCTATTATATTCATTATAGTAGTTACGGTACTAGGAACCAAAAATCACTTCCTGAATGAAGCAGACTATGAATGCAAATATTTGGGAGAACAAGTCATTCTTTACTCTCCTGAAGTAATACATGCTTTATAGATAATTTAAGGAAAAAAGCAGTATGTTGCCCTTCTGCCTAAAGACAATTACTGTAAACATTCTAGAACATTTCCTTTAACTCTTTTTCTATGCTTAGTATTTTTACTTAGTTGTGTTTATACTATATATATATACACACACACGCTTCTGTGTTCTCTTTTTACATTATAAGTTGAAAGTGTTATTTCTAAATTAATTTTTTTAGTAGTTAACGTATTCACTTGGTTTGAAAATGAACATGGTTCAAAATATCAAAGCCATATAAAAAGTTTTGATTGAACATTCGTATTCTTACTGTGATTCTTATCTACTCTCTTCCTTCTCTGCCACCCCTTAGAGGTAAACTTTTAAAATATAACCATTTAAAATCTTGTTTGTATATCTTTCTGGTAGTACTTTATTTAAATATGAATAAGTATTCAAATATAAATATTCATGTATCTCATTTTTTTTATTTAAAAGTAACAGCTGTATCTATTCTATACTTAGCTTTTTCTCTCATTAGCAACATAGTCTGGAGATCTTTCCATCTGCAAGCACCATTCCTTAGTCCTTTTTTTGGTAGCTGTATAGTATTATGTGTGAATTGTACTGTAGTTTATTCAGTCTGTCACCTGTTGCTAGATTCTTGAGATGACTTCAATCCTTTGCTATCCCAAACAGTGCTGCAGTGGTTAATCTTGAATTTGCCTCGTTTCATACATGCACAGGTGGTTTAGTAGGATGAATTCCCAGAAGTAAGACTGCTGCATTAAAGGGTAAAATATATTAGTGATTTTGTTAGATATTGCTAAGTTGCCTGTCAAAGGAATTGTATCGCTTCACACTTTAATCAGTAAAGTGTGGGGGTGCCTATTTTCCTCAGGTTCACCAACAAAGTGTTTGTTACATATTTGTAATTTTGCCAGTTTGATAATTAAGAGATCATCGTTTTGTCTGTATTGCTCTTATTTAATATTTTAGAAAAACTTTTTAATTTTTAGGTGTGCCAATTTATACCTCTTTTCAACAATTGTTGAAATCAGCAAGTTTTTTTAATGATTCTAGAATCTGGATCCATGTGAGTGGAAGGTTTCTGCAGGTGGAAAATGGATCCAGATCTTGAGTATACCTTGTTTGCCCACTCCTATTAAACAGATATCCAGCCCTAACGATAGTTGCCTTTATTCTATACCAGGTCTTCCAGTGAGAGAGAAGTAAAAGCTCTTTATATTTTTTTCTTTTTAAAAAAAACTCTGACCTTATTTTCTATGTTGCTAAGTAATAATAAATCATTATTATGTGATAATAAGTCATTAACTGTAATTTGTATAACCTGATTGCCTGCCTACACAATGGAAAAGAAATTTTCCTAAATATCTCTATTACGCTAATCCCTTACATTTTCCTGGATTTTTGTTATGCTAATTCTTTAAATGTCCCTAGATATCTCTGTTATACTAATCCCTTAAATTTTCCTAAATGTCTCTGATAAACTAATCCATTCATTTTTGTGTGCAAAAATACACAAAGGGTGAAATCCTTTTTGATGAATGCCACTGTATGTAAATTAACCTCCCCACATATAGCCTAACTCTGAGAAGAATGGGAAACCAGAACACTTGATTGTGCTTATGTGAAACCTATACTTGGACCCGGAGGCAGTTGTCTGAACAGAGCAGGGTGACACAGCATGGATCAAAATTAGGAAGGGTGTACACCAGGGATGTGTCCTATCTCCATACCTTTTCAATCTATATTCAGAACAGATTATCTGGGAGGCTGGGCTCTATGAGGAGGAAGTGGCAACAGAATTGGAGGAAGACTCATCAACGACCTACATTATGCAGATGACATAACCCTGCTTGCTGAAACTGAGAAGGACCTGAGGCGCTGGCGCAGAAGTTCAAGGACTGCAGCCTTCAATATGGATTGAAGCTCAACATCAAGAAAACAAAGATTCTCACCCCTGGACTGGTTAGGATCATTATGATAGATGGTAAAGAGACTGAGATTGCTGACAGCTTTAGTTTGCTTGGCTCCACAATCAACTCTCTTAGTACCAGCAGCCAGGAAATGAAAAGATGAATTGCATTGGGAAAGTCTGAAGAGCAACAAAGTCAGTCTGGAAACTAAGGTGTGCCTGATCCAGGCCTTGGTTTTTGCAATTACTTGCTATGCGTCAGAAAGCTGGACAATGACTAGGGAGGATAGAAGGAGAATTGATGCCTTTGAGATGTGGTGCTAGAGAAGATTAATGAATATACCATGGAATGCCAGGAGAACAAACAGAGTCGTCCTGGAGATGAAAGCAGGCTGCTCCTAGGAAGGCAAGGATTCGGAGGCTCTGTCCATACTTTTGGGCATGCTGCAAAGAGGGACCAGTCCTTCGAGAGGGACAGCAGTTTTGGGAGGGTGGAAGAACAGAGCAAGTGAGGAAGACTCTCGATGAGATGGATTGATTCAGTGACTGGGGTAATAGGGTAAGTGTGTCAGAGATAGGGTAAGTGTGTCAGAGGCAATAAGATTGGCACATGATAGGGCAGGGTTCAGAGCTGTTAAACATAAGGTCACTATGATTAGCAAGTGATTTGACAGCACATAACAACAGCAATAAATAGGGAGACTTTTTTCCCAGCTGTTTATAGCTAATGTAAATTTAAGAGCTAAAACCAAAAGACTAAGTCATATTTGTATCAGACATAAATATCCTCAGTGATGATAGATGCAGCATGAAAGTTTTATTTATTATTTGTGGTAGGAAGAAATGACTACTCTAACTTGCATGTTATAAAAAATTAATGAGGCTCCAAAGATTGTTGACGTTTCTGAACATAGGTGCACGGAAGGCCACCAGTACTACCAAGTGAAGAGAAGAAGAAGGAACAGCCAGTAGCTCTGAGCTCCCAACTCCTTATCTTGGCAAATTATACTACTTAATTATCTTATTAAGTATTCCTTTCTCCTCGCTCCAATGAATTAAGAGTCAGTTAAATAGCTGTTCTGTTCTTATCTGTAGCTGATGTACCCTGTGCCTTTTAGCTTTTCCATTAATAAAATAACAATCTTGCAACTTTAAAAACAGTTGGCTAGCCTTAATGGGATGAAACTCTTTGGAAGATTTTGAGCTTGGGAAAACACATGACAGTGTTGGTGAAAAATGCATTAAAGAAAAAAAAAATGCCCCTCTTGTTTCTCACAAAAGGACATGCGCATCCTTCTATTGCAGCTTTTCTTAGGATTTTGTAAGGTAATGGAACCTTCTGGAAAACTATTTGAGTGACTCTTTTCTCATTTCTTCTAAGGATTGTACACAAGCAGTACCATTCAAGAAGCACAAGAGAGAGATTAATTCATTATGTACTCTGATGGAGCTCTTGGAGAGGGCTTATATCCAGAGCGTACCCTAAAAAGGCACATTGGTAGCTATGATGTGTCTTAATGGAATTGAAAGCTCAGCAGTACACTCATCACTGGCTTTCATTTTCCTTTGATGTGTTTTAAAGGACGTTTCATATTGTAGTAAGAGTCCATTTCCAGCCAGCATTCTGAAAAACGTGGTTCAGGAAAGGGAGGATTGTTGACTGTCTTTTCTTTTCTCCAGCCAGCTGCCATATTGTCACATTTTAATGTGTTCAAATATGATATTTGATAGCTGAGCCCCTTACGTGTAGGGGCATCCCATATTTATGAAATGAAAACAATGTGACATTGAACCCACTCCCCTTGAGCTAATGGTTTCGACTCATAGTGACCCTGTAGAGCAGAGTAGAATTGTCCCAGAGTAATTTCTGAGGCTGTAAATCTTTACAGAAGCACACCACATTGTTGTTCCAAGGAAAGGCTATTGAATTAGAACCCGCAACGTTTCACTTTGCAAACAAGTGCTTTAACCACTGCACTGCCAGGCTTCCTTATATCAGATCCACTGGGTTTAAGTATTTCAAATTTTTAGTTCTCTGACCTTGCCTTTTGAATTGTGATAAAAGAAGTTTCTGTTCTTTAAAGTAAATATATATTCAATTCTCATAGAGGCTTAGAAAATGCAACCACCAAAAATGAATGTTGGTTCTCTGCTTCAATAAACCAGATAAAGATTAGGATTTTTAAAAATCAGGTCTTACTTCTTTTAATTAGGGTTAAGTAAATGTGAAAAGGGGAGATGTAAAAGGAATTGGTACACCTGGTATACCAAACACTATTTCACTTTGGTTTTTGCCTTCAGCCAGTCAAAGGACTACAGTGACCCCAGGGAAAACTCATTATAGTCTTTGGAATGTATGTTTCCCTCTTCTCTTCTTTAATGGGACTGGTCCACATTTAACCTGAGATGAGAATTGATTTAGCAGTGATAACCACTGTGAACAGAGAGACTTGTTGGCAACAGCCATTTTTTCAAGCCATTTTTCTTTCCTGAGTTGGGTGCCATAAAAGAAGTTTTCACAGTCTGGTTTTGGACTGTGAGTTCAAAATGTAGTTGCCCTGAACTGTTACAGAGTGATGCACTTTCAGAAGTTTAGGGTAGAGGATCCAGCTGGGTAGACTAAACGTATCGTTGAGCAGGTTTCGATTCCTTGGAAGGAATAACGATTCCTTTTCATATCCCTTTTCCTATCTGGAAAAGTCCATTTCAGTGATTAGACCCTAGGCATTTGGCCCACTGAAATAAATATTCTAGGGGTTGAAAAGGTACTTCAGACTTCTTTGGTTTTCCCCAAAAGAAAGTGTGATACAGTTGAGTATTGCACAGTGTTAGCGTACAGAGTTCTATTTGCAGGCTCCTGCTAGAAAGGAGTGGGGCTTTTCATTCATTTGTTCACACTAGTATGTCAGGGCTCAGGCACTTAGGCTGTGGGCATTCGGGTACTGGTCAATCTTAAATGCAATCACAGTGCTACGTAGTGTCTTCAGTTGGAGGGAAAAGCTCAACGCAGCTTTCATATAGAAGACATTAAGATGTTCTGCTTCCTAAAATTACTGTCACTTAGATAAAACTGACTTTCTCTGAAGGTTTATTATGGGTTTTTTGGGGGTTTGGGTTGTGTGGGTTTTTTTTTTATATCTATATTTTTGCAATTTGAATTCAAAGTATCCTTTCAGGCCTCTCTGATGTTATCTTTGAAGTACTACGCTCAACAATAGTCTTTAAAGTAAAAACCACTGCTAGGAAGAGTCAGCGATCTCTCTCTCTCTCTTTCTCGTAGCTCCATAGTGGCCTACCAGCCTGCTGGAGACAACAGTCACACCTTTGATGTCACAGCCATGTTCAAGTCTATCGGGATCTTCCTTGGGATCTTTAGCGGATCTTTTGCGATGGGCGCTGCTACTGGAGTGGTGACGGCTTTAATATCCTTTTCAGTGCATTTGGGTTTTCTTTTTAACATTTTGAAGTAGTTGAATGCTGTGTTCAGTGAATGACTTTTCCTAATTCCATAATAGGAATTGTGTTATACTTAATAACTTTACAGTCATGTTTGAAAAAAGCCAAACCCACTGCCATCAAGTCCATTCTGGCTCACAGCAAATTTCTAGGACAGAGTAGAACTTTCTCATAGGCCATTCAAGGCTGTATAGCTTTACAGAAGCAGACTGCCTTACTTTGTCCGGTGGAGTACATTATTGTTGTCGTTGTGTGCCATTGAGCTGGAACCAACTCAGCTGACCCTCCAGCAGGTTTTCAGAGGTTATAAATTGCATGGGAGGAGATTTCCTGATCTTTTCCCCCATGGAGATCCTGGTGGATTCGAACCACATGGCTTTGGGTTGGCAGCTTAACTTCTTTCCACTCAGCCACCAGAGCTCCCCATGGAATGGCTAATGGATGTAGAACACAGACTTTTTTCTTAGTGACGCAGTGTTTAATGCACTGTACCACTAGGGCTCCTTGAAAAATCGTGCCATAGTAGGCCACTGCCATTGGCTACCATGCGGGGAGCTGTATGTCCCCTCTTTGGACTTCAGTGTAGCAAACGGAGGATGGGGAAGGACAGTGGGGAAGGTGGCTGGGACTGGACGCATTCTAAAGAGCCCTTTTATAGAAGGCAAATACAGTCTTCCTTTCGAAGAATCTCTACAGGAGCTCTGGTGGCCTGGAGGGTAAAGTCCAAAGGCAAGCAGTTCAAACCTGCCAGCCGTTCTGTGAGAGAAAAGATGGGCAGCCTCCTCCTCTGTGAGTTACTTACTGCGTCTGAAAACTCACTGGAGGGTCAGCTAGGAGTCAGTTCTGACTCAGTGGCAATGAGTTTGAGGTTTTTGGTTTGTGAGGGGTTTTGTTTTTGCTGTTTGTTTTTTTTGTAAGAATCTCTGAGTTTACTTTGTGCTGGAAAAGGCTTATTTTATTAATTGTTTTTCGATTGTTGGGTTGTTTTGTCTTATTTTGTTTCTTAAACAGAAGCATAAAGGAGCAATTAAAAGACTCCAAAGCCAGAACAGATAATGCCTGCCTTCCAGGTTCCTTGAGAGTGGTGGTATATCTTGGTAATCTTTATCTTCTGGTACATATTAGACAGAATCTAGGTCCTCACCTAATGTATGTTGCTGCTGTGAAGAAATTCTTATGAGACTAATATTAGTGAGGGTAGGCGGCTCTGGTGGCCTAGTGCTAAGAAGCTGTGCTGCAATCCCAAAAACATATAGTTCAAATCCACCAGCTGCTCTGTGGGAGAAGGATTTCTGAAAACCCACCGCAGGCTCAGCTATGGGTTGGTTCTGACTCGATGGCACACAACAACAACAAAAGCGAGTGTAGTGCCTCAGTTTCTTCCTCTTGCAATGCCTTGCCACACAGAGGTGGTGGTGATGTTATTGTTGTAAAGGGGCCATTGAATTGAGTTGAATCCAAATCATAGAAAACCTGTGTACAACAGATCAGAACCTTGCGTGATCTTCCCCATTCACTCAGCCCCCGCAGTACTCAAGCCCATCGTGGCAATCCCTGTGCCGGTCCATCTCCTTGCAGTCCAGACACTTCTGAGTTGGTGGGAGCTGTGCTGCTCGTCCAGAGGTGGATCTCCTCCGGAGGTTGGAATCCATCAGTGGCTCCTTGGACATCCATGTGGGCAGTCCACCTCCGGAGCAGTGAACAGCTTCGGAAACCCTCTGGAGGGTCAGCTATGAGTCAGTTTCAACTCGATGGTCATGAGACACACGGAGAGAGATTGAAGAGCTGATTTCAATTTTTTCTGACATCCATTTTGATAAGTTATTTCTATCTTGTCTTTGTAATGACCTTTTGCTTTCTTCATGGGTGATGCCTTTGATGTTATTCTACAGCTCATCTGCTCTTCAGTCGTTAGTGTTCAGTGCATCATATCCTTAAGAAAGTCTTTAAATTCAGATGGACTGAATTCAAGCTCCTATTCTGGCTCTCGTGGACAGGTTTTTTGGTTTTTTTTTCAGCTTCAGCTTGAACTTGCATATGAGCCTTTATTTGTCTATTTGGCACTCAGCTCCTGATCTTGTTCTGACATGACATTGAAGTTCTCATCCTTCTCTTTCCACAGATATAGTCAATTTGATCCTTGTTTTATAGTTCCCCTTTATGGTTTTTTTAAAAGGATATTTGCAACCAATAAATCATTGATTCCTCCTCTTCCATATCTGGTGGGGGGATTTTGAAATCACAGGGACTTACTTGTTTTTGTCAATGCAAATTGCTGTCATTAGGGAAGCTGTCTTGCATTTAGTTGAGTCGCAAATTCTCAGAGTCAGATGCTATGTGTCTGATATGTAGGGCTGGTTCCTTCCTGCCCTCTTCGGAATGTTTTCTAGCAAGCTATGTGATTCTCGTCAGACAATTCACTTGACTCAGCGATAAGAAGTCCTCACTGAAGGAGGCTACTGACTTCTCAGCAAGATGTCCAAGTATTGCTTTAAAAAAAGTAAGACTAGAGTTGCTTCATGTTGCCCCCTTCTTCTGTGTCTGTTTTGTTAGGATAATTAGAGACATTCCTCTGTATGATTGTGTTGCTATTACCTTGTTCTGGCCATACTTCTGTACTATGAGTGCATGTCATCAACCTTAACAGTCTTACGTAACAAAGTTCACCAAATTACGGGAGTTCCAGTTGTTGGAGACCGGCCTCTTCTTCTTGATGTCCTGGAGCACCTTCCTCTTGGCTGAAGCATGGGGTTTCACAGGTAGGTAACTTGTCCTTTAGGATTTTTAAACCCGCTCAAGAAGTGACTTTGCCAGTCACTTGTTCAACCAGTGCTCAGACTCAGCTAGTATTTGAGCATGCCCATTTTGGGTTTGAGCACACTGCCTGTGGCCGGGATGTCTTCTTTTGCTTTGGAGTCTAAAACAGATTTTCTGAGTAAGTAGTGCCTCTCTCAGTAAAATTAAGTCATGAATGGAAGGTTTAATGTCAGCTTATAGCCTACTTTTAAAATAAATTCTACTCTAATTTTTATGAAACAGAATGTATATGAATGATCAAATGAAAGCCAATTATAAATAATTAATACATATTAATTAATTTGCGTGTTTGGGAAGCATCCTCTGATGTAAACTTGCACTTCTTTGTCTTTTGTAGGGGTGGTTGCAGTGTTGTTTTGTGGCATCACACAAGCACACTACACATACAATAACTTGTCCACGGAGTCTCAGCATAGAACTAAACAGGTAAGATGAACTTGACAGTCAGTGTCTAAATCGGCTCCTGTCAGCACTTCCTCCTTTAACTCCAGAAGATGGGCCAGGCTCACTAAAGGCTATCAGCGCTTAGAGTGGTGGTGCCGCAGCAGAATAGCCAGCAGCTGTTCCGATTATGGCTGCAGTAACCAGTCACTTGGCTTCCTTTCCTCTTACTGCTGCCGTTCCAGTTTAACGGCTTTTGAGAGGAATAATTTGGAAGTGAATTCAGGTCTATTGCTGTGTGATACAGATTAACTTCTGATCTGCCTAGAGCTACTGCTCTCTGATCAAAATAAAATTAAATCCTTCAATCTTCATTTTAGGCACTGCAAAGCCGCTCTGTAGTGTAGTGCAGAAGTTGGCAAACTAAGGCTCTGGGGCCAAATCTGTCCCCATACCTAGCTTCTGTGAGATCAGGATGCTAAGAATGGTTTTTACATTTTTAATTGTTGAGGGAAAGTCCAAAGGAGGAGACTATATTTGACATCGGAAAAACGGTATAAAATTCAAATGTCAATCAATAAAGTTTAATTGGAACACAGCTGCCCCCAATCATTTGTTAATAGCCTGTGGCCAATTGTGCAGTAAGTAGCAGAGTGGAGGACTATTGACAGACCCCATCGTACAGTCCACGAAGACAAAATTATTTAACATCTGGCTCTTTACAGAGAAAGGTTGCCGACCTCTGTTGAAACATTTTAGAGCTTGGGCTGTGGAGATATTGAATTGTATGAAAGCCCAGTCCCATCCTTGCTTATAGTATGACCTGGGCAAGTTATGTAACCTCTTAGCATTCAATCTCCATACCTTTACAATGGAGATAATAGTAGTGCATACCATATGGAGTTATCCTGAGATTAAAACAAGATACTGTGTCTCAGGTCCTCTGCATATTATCTGACACACTGTAAACACTTGAGAAAGTTTAACAGTTATCCTTATATAAGTAAATACTAATAATAGTCTATTACATTTTTTTCATTTAAATGATTTGGTTTGGTCCTTGGGGCGTTGCACTGCTCATATGAAGGCTGCACTTCTCTGATTGGCCAAATCTCTGGTGGACAATCTCATCTTGTGCAGTTTACAGCCTCAGTAGCCCAAAGGAGCGTCAGCTTACAGTTCTAACTCAATAGCAATGAGTTTGAATTTTGGAGTGAAATATATTTGTTTTCATTTATATCCCTAGTTTTGTCTAGGAAGATTACATGACTCATTCAAAGCCACACAGCCAGCAAGCGAGGCCTCTGAGGCATTTTGGCTCAGCTCATGCTCTTAACCGCTGCCCTGTGGTTTTGAGCTGGAGAGTTCAGGCTAAGGAGCAGTGGTAGCTGTGTTGGATAGAAGGATGCCAGAGTGAGGAAGACTTCAAGTCTACTCATTCAGCAAGTCTCACCCTTGGGGGGTTAGTAAATCTTGGCAAGGCCATGATGTGAAAGTGGGCGGGCAGGGACATAGGACTAGAATGTGTAGGTCCCATGCTTAGGGAGAGGTGGAGGAAAGAGGCACTCTGCCAGGAATAAAGACGTTAAACTGGATCTTAGAGCCTTTACGAGGGAAGTGTTTTGAAAAGGCCATTTGGAAAGTCGTTTGTTGAAGTGTGGAGATGGGAGAGCGGGGGAGAAGTGAGATGCAGGCAATCCGCCAGTTAGGATCCTCACGTAGCATTATGGGTAGGAAGTCATGAGGGCTGGACTAGGGCAGGGATGGGGACACAAGAGATACTGCAAAAGAAGATTGGTTAGAATTTTGAGAAGCAATGTAAGAGTGACCAAAATTTTGGGAGAAGGAAAGCCAGTTGGGACATGTGAGATGGTGTCATGTGTGGCTGGCATTTTTTATGGGGCTAGAAATGTCATCTCCACATTCTCACTCTTCTTGCATATTTTAGAGTATGCCCTTGAACTTTACGAGGCACCCAGCTGGTACAGTGATTAAACACTCCACTGCTAATTGAAGGGTTGTCAGTGTGAACCCACCCGCTGCTCCACAGGAAGAAGACATGATCATGTCTTTCCACAAAGACTCTTGTTGTTGTGTGCCATCAACTAGAACCAACTCATAGCTGCCCTTCAGTGGATTTTCAGAGGCTGTAAATTGCAGAAGGAGATGGCTAGTGGATTTAAATTGCTTTTCTTTGGGTCGGCAGTACAACTCCTTACCCATTAAACCACTGGCAGTTCTATGGTGACTGTTCTTCTCTGTCGTGTAAGGTCATGAGAAGTTGAAATTGATTCTGGCAGTGGGTTTGGGGCTGGGTTGTTTAGTCACTTGAACTTAATGTATTTGAAGTGTCTCTTTAATTATCTTAGTGAGTTTCATATTTTCAAATGTTGCAACTCCATTTTACTACTGAACTAACCTTTCCAATTTTTTTTTCTTCAGTTGTTTGAGCTTCTCAATTTCTTGGCAGAGAATTTCATCTTCTCCTACATGGGGCTGACACTGTTTACCTTCCAGAACCATGTCTTTAACCCAACATTTGTAGTAGGAGCATTTGTATCCTTTATTATGTGTTCAAAAACTCTTTTCAAAATGGAAATTTTTATGTGTTCTTAAAGAGATGGTTTGGTAAAAAAAACCAAGAGATTGTTTGGTTGACAGGGTTAGGTCTAAATATATAAAAGTAATTTCCTGAGCTGAAAACAAAGAAAGATTTCAACATTTTTTAAAAATTCTCAAAATACTGGCATGGCATTTTTGTTTATTGCACAAATAATACTGACAGCTCCCACAGAGAAACTGATTGTCCTCTTTTACTAAAGAGAAAGGATGCTGTAGAGAACAGAATCCTAAAAGAGAACAGGCTGTACCACTGGGTGAACGACGCTGCTCTTTTTCCTTCTCTCTCTGTCTCTGTTCCTCACCTTCCCTCCCGCTATTGTCTCTTCCTCCCCCTCCCTGCTCCCTCCTGTGAGCAAATTGAGTCTAAAACAGAAGAAAAACAGATTCAAGGGAGAAGCTGGGGCTATGAGCACACGCAAGCCTTGTGAGGAGGAGGCAGGAGGAGATGGCACCCGGAGCTTAGTGAGCAGGTTGGGCCTTCAGGAGTAAGACCATGGCTCCCTCATTGTCACGGGAGAGGACGGGCTATGTGGAGACCGAGTTGGGAGGTGCAGCTCCTGTCCAATGGCTTCTATTTTTATCTATAAAGCAGGAGTTGGGATCATGTGCTGAGGGGTTCCAGACACATATGGAACAGATATGTATTCACTTATCTGTTGGGTGGTACATGACCCTAAAACAGCCACTGAAAACAAAAACGCTTGTTACCCCACAGAGTTAGCTGGGCCTGCAGTTTCTAGAGACGAGACTGTTGCTGAGTCGACTTGCCGACACTTAACAACAACAGCACCAAAGACTGTGACTGGAGCACCTGCTCCAGTCTCGCTTCCATAGCTGTTAGGGGGAGGTTTTCATGTGGGCCTTTCTATAAGGGAGCTCACTGTATGATTTTATCCACAGTGAGTGAGAGAGACGGAAAGTAGACATCAAGAGGGAAGCCAGAGTAGCTTTTATAGTCTAATCTTGGAAGTGATACACCTGCCACCATAACTTCTGCCGTATTCTATTGATTGCAGGTCAACCTGGTACAATTTGGGAGGGAGTGACAATGTGTGATACTAGATAATAGTCTTAAGGGACCATCGTGGAGGCTAGCTTCCATAGATAATACAGGGTTTTAGGAGGTGCAAGTTTTGGGAATTACTCTTGTAACAAGGGGCAGAGTGAATTGACCAAAGAGATGCAGTAGGATTGACTGGTAAGCAGTATGAAGGGCCTGTTTGAGTTTGAGGACTAGGTCCCAACAATAGAATTAGTCTGCTCTGTTGCATGACCTTGTCCAAAAGTGTACACCTGGAGAAAGGACTTGAGCCCACCTAGGACTGGCATTTGGCCAAGTGAGTGCAGTGAAAACACAGAGAAAAGCAATGCATTTAGGACATTGCAAAGAGCATTATTAAAATAGGTAGTAAGAAGAGGAGTAAAGAAAGAGGGCTGGTCATTTGAGGGAATTACAAAAGAGATCATTGAATTGGAGGCTGCAGTGAGGTAGAAAAACAATCCAAGTAGCAGAGTTGACCACTAGACAGGGAACACGAGATTATGGTCAGAGAGAAGGATGTTTGAATCGCAAAAGAAGTAAGAAGCAACCACCTCAGAATGAAGATTCTGCCAAAAGGATTAGCAGAAATATTTTTAAAATTAAAATGCTAAATAGGGTCTTTGTTAGAAAGTGAGTTATTATCAAAATGCCATTCTGCAGAGTCTTAGTCTGGAAATTAACTTCAGGTAAAAGAGATAAAATCCTATTAAAACAGAAGAAATATAGCTGGAAGGCTACCATTAAGTTAGTACTTCATATCCTACTAGTCTTGGAGAGATTTTTGAACAGTCAAATGGCTTGATAAACTAACATTATACATAACTATATATTTAACATTATACTTAATCCAGAAACAAGGCTAAATATTAGGAATTAACATTCTTCAATTAAAATCCCACCATGAAAATTGGCTCTCAATAGGAAAGAGCTCTCTTTCTAGCTCTGTTAGTTGGACAGTAGGGGTTTTTTCCTGTGAAAAAGATTTAGATGAACAAACACTTAAAAAGAAGTTTCTCGTGAAGGTGTGAAGTGGAGTCATCAAAGAACCATGCTCCTACCTCCTTGCAGTAGGGAGTTGTCCTTGTTCTTACCATCCAAAGCGGCTCGCTCCTATTATCAGTTTCTTTTAGACATGACTCAGAAGAGGCACACATCACTGCCGCTCAGCACCCTACCTGGAAAGGAAGTTGGGAATTCTCTTCTTAATCAGATGAAAGTTGGTGCTAGGGTATGGTGTCTATTTTTGCAGAAGGAAGGGAAAAGAGATACTGCACATAGCTGCTGTCCACGTGTTTCATTATTTGTTAAAGGGTACACTTTTTAAATAAACTGTTTTATTCTAGAGCTGTTTTAAACTTAACTGAAATTTTCTGAGTTCCCGTATACCCCCATACCCAGGTTCCCCTGTTAACATCGCCTGTTAACCTCTTATATTCGTGTGGTACATTTATCACAATAAATGACTCAACACATACATTATTATTTTTCTTTTTTGATGGTTTGAGTGAACGTTTACAAAGCAAATTGGTTTTACATTCAACCATGCATGCACATTTTGTTTTCTAACAGGAATTACAATACCCACAGTGGAGCTACATTCTTCCCACTTCCTCCCTCTGATTTCCATTTCCATTAACTCTTCTAGCCTCCCCTTCCTGCAATCAGAGCTTTATCCTTAGGCAAATGCAGCCCTTTTGACTGTACACAGTTGGTTATTCTAAGGAGTGAATGCCTCTATCCTGTTATTTAGGGTTTTGTTTTGTTTTTTTTAAAATTATTTTATACTGGTTTACATAAAGTTCATATACATTGTTTCCCTCCTGTTATTGTTCACCTTGGAGGCCCCTCTATTGTTTGGCTGAAAGATGAGCCACAGGGGTGAGTTTTGTTCCCAGTTGGAAGCATGAAGAAGGACTGTTGTCCTGAAGGATTGGAGCAATAAGCCTAGTCATGTTTACTAGTCAATTTTATGTATAACTATCAATTGTGTTTATAATTATAATTATCAGATGTTCTTTTCACTTTGTCTGATATCCTTTTTTTTTTTTTATTTCAAGAGCCCCTCCGGAATACCACCTCATACTTGGTCATCGTGTCTCTCTCGTTAGACCCCTCTTGGCTGTCAGAGTTTCTCAGACTTTCCTTGTGTGGCCTTCAGAAGTACCGGTCAGGGATTTGGCAGAATGGCCTTCAGTTAGAATTTGCCTGATTTTTTTTTTCTTTTCATAATTAGACCGGAGTGATTGAGAGGAAGATCTTAGAGGTGAAGTGCCATTCTTATCACATCTCATCCCGTCACATCAAGTATACATGCTTCCTCACATGTCTTACCAAAATCAGTGTTAACCTTGATCACCTGACTGAGGTAGTGCTTGTGAGGAGGCATCTGTCGGTGCAGTTCCTCCTCTGCCCCTCTCCATATTGTGTTCTTTGGAAGGAAGTCTCATTGTTGCAGTGCACACTTAGAGAGTGGGTTTCTACATAACCTGAGGGAGGAATAGCTACATACATTACTTGGGATTTTTACTTGGGAGATTTGCACATACTCCTCACTTACTGTTTTCGTCAGTCATTTATGGGCTCATAAATATTTTATTTGTGCATCAGTATTGATGCTTTACATTGTAATCCCATATGACTTTATTTTGTTGCTCAGATTCTCCAAGCCGTGGTTATTGGGTGCTCTTCCAATTAGCTCCTGTGTCCCTTTGATATTCCCTCATTAAGCACTCACTCCTTCACTTGCTAGTGCTTCACAATACTCCAGGCTCAGCTTCTCTGCCCTAGCCATTTACCCACAGGGCCTTGGTTTGCTTGTGGCTGCTGGAGCAACACTGCTTGTAGACCTTCTCAGCTGAGCAAACACATTTGCATATACTAACCTGTGTGTGTACACATATCTGCAAACATTTCTCTGTGAAACCATCTTTATTCATATCAAGCCAAACGAGAGTTCATACTGATGTCTCCAACTCTATAACGTTGCCATATGTTGTAGGTCTGTCTTTGCACTACCATCATTGTAGGTCTTTCCTCTTGCTGATCTGTAAAAATCTCCTCCAGCAGCGAAAAGCCTGGCTTTCACCACCCACCATCCAGTTGCTTAATGGTTCAACTCCAATGTACATGAGTTGTAATATTGGCCTCGGTGAACCCATACATCCCTGTGTAAAGCACTGCCGCCCAGTGGTTATGTGCACTTCCTTTGGCCTCTGCATTACAGACTCGACTCTTTGCTACTTTGGTTAGCACCATTTCTCCCGTGTGTGTGTGTGTGTGTGTGTGTGTGTGTGTGTGTGTGTGTAAACTATAAATAGTGGTATGATCTTAGATCTTATTTTGTTGTGAAAATACCGGTAACTTGTTTTTCATCTTAGATCTTTTCTTTAAACTCCTGTCAGAAAATAGAGTAGAGGCTGTACTGGGGCCCCTGAATTAACACTTATAAAACAGCACTTTTAAAGCAGGAATCTTGGAAGATAGTGTGATTTCTGTTTGACTGGAGTGAAAAGATCTTGAAATTGTTTTCCAGGCTTTTGGATACAACTGGAGCTAGCAGGAATTGTGGTAGTATTTAAGCTTCCCTTTTCTTTATTCTGAGGAAGAAATTGAGCATTTTTCTTTTTACCTGGATCACTAAGACGAATTAACCTATTGATGTAAACTTGAAGCATGGACATGATTGTCAATCGTGTTTCTGTTCATCTAATGAATTTCTTTTTTTTTTAATTTCTTATACATTAGATCTGCACTGTCTATTTTAGTAGCCTTTGGCCACATGCGATTAAATGAAATTAGACTTTCAGTTCTTCAATCACAGTAGCCACATGTTAAGAGCTCAGCATGTCGGACAGTGCAGATGGCAAACATTTCCATCGTTGCAGGAAGTTGTAGGGCACTAAGTCATGTTAGTGGCATGGAAGAACTAAGACAGGCTACCACTACCTTGACTTTCTACTCTAATGATCCTTAACCTATGAATTCTTTTAGATTGCTATTTTCTTAGGAAGAGCTGCCAATATTTACCCGCTGTCCCTCTTACTTAATTTGGGCAGAAGAAGTAAGATTGGCTCAAATTTTCAACACATGATGATGTTTGCTGGTAAGTTCCAGCTTTTCCTCTTTTGCCTACCCCAAGAAACCCTTCATAATGTACATTCCAGTTTACTTCCAAATCGAAATGATAAGCTGATGATGTGATATAATATATGATGTCCCTTTGTTGTTGTTGATTGCCTTCGAGTCAAGCACGACTCCTCGCGACCCTATGAGCAAAAGACCTGAAGCCCCTCTCCAACTATTGACATTTATCAAACTTCATAGAGTTTCCAGAGGCATGTTGTTTAGAAAGTGGATGCCACTCTTGCTTCCAAACCTGTCGCAGAATGTTATTGGTTGAGTCACCTGTGATGCACAGCAACCCTATCTATGTACAGCAGTTCTGAACCATTCTCTGTCCTGAGCCGTCTCACAAATTCTGACACACCAACCCCCATCTCCGCAGTTACTGTGTGAATCCATTTCCTCCAGGTTTCTCTTTTCCTGTGCTGTCTGTCTACACTGCCGAGCTTGATGTCCTTCTCCAAGAACTGATCTCCCCTGGGCACATGCCCTTTAAACAACCTCAAATAGAAAATCCTTTTTATAGCGTTCCATTGCCTTCTGTGGGTTGGATTTTTAATTTTTAAATTTTTTGACGTTCTAGAACCAAATCTATGATTTAGAACTAAGTTATGTGAAGGGTGAAAATGAAAGATGAATTCATATTCACACAGAATCTTGTGTGTGAATGTTATAGCAGCTTGTAGTTGCCCCAAAACTGCCAAATGGAAACCACCTATCTGTTTTTCAAGGAGACAAACGGTGGTACATTCTTATAATGGAATACTACCTAGCACTAAAAAGGAGGAAACTACTGATGCACACATCAACATGGTCGGATCTCAAAGGCTTTGTGCCCAGTGAAAGGAATCACCCTCGATGATATAGAGCAGCAACAGCAACAGATTTCAAAATAAAATAGACAATTCTTTAAAGATTCATGCTCGTCAGCATCACATACTAATTCTAATGTTCTGTGTTTTTAATGTGTGTTAATATCTATTGCCCAAGCTTGTACCTTTTAAAAACAGACTTCATTCCTCTGAATTTATGACACTCCTGCTGGTAATAAATTAATAGAAGAAATACTTCTTCCGTTCCTTTGTAGGGCTTCGTGGTGCCATGGCGTTCGCCTTGGCCATTCGCGATACTGCCACATACGCCCGGCAGATGATGTTCAGCACCACGCTCCTAATTGTGTTTTTCACCGTGTGGGTATTCGGCGGTGGTACCACCGCGATGTTGTCATGCCTGCATATAAGGTAAGCAGGAGCTGCAGAGCTCATTTTCGTCTTACATTGTAACTGTTTCTATTAGTAGTGAGACAATTTGAGATTTTGCCCAATCGAACACTTTCTGGAATGGAGCATGGTGATGGCTGCACAACACAGTGAATGGAATCAAGGTCACTGACACATCCACGTAAAATGGTTAAAATAGCAAATGTTATGTTACCTATTTTTTACCACAATTTTTAAAACTGTGGTGCATTTGTTTTAGAAAAAAAGAAAAATACACAAAAGAAAAATCAATGGTAATATCTTGAAAGATAATCTCTCCAGACTTTTTACTATAGATACGTGATAGATACTTTTAACAAAAAGGGGCAATACTAAAAAGTGCTTTTTAAAACTGATTTTTAAATGTAATATAATGTGAGCATTTAAATTAGCAAATACATTTACATCATATTTTTTTTGTGGCTGCAGATCTCTTAATTTATTTGGCCAAATACTTTTGTATTTTTTTCAAGGATTTGACTATTACCATTAATTACCCTTGTTATGAACATTCTTAAAGGTAGACACCACTATGCACTTGTTTGATCAGTTCTTCAGTATGAATTCTAGAAGTGGAATTACTTGGCCTAAGGCTGTGCATATATTTAAGGCTTGCAATCCCCATCACCAATTTGAAGTACATTGTTTTCTTCCATCTGCAGTGTATGAGATGGTTTCCTTTCCCCCAAGCCTAATCAGTACTAGAGACTATCATTCTTTCTCATTGTGTCTGTTTCTAACATTTATTTTAGCATCGTTCCTAACCTAAGAATCCAAGGCTGAAATTGTGAAGTCTGAGTCTTAAATATGTGCTGGTTAATATATTCCATTTGAAAGCGCCCTTGTATCTGTGGAGTTCTGCTCTTCTGCTGTTTCCATGGATACAGCAGCTGCATTGCTGAAGCCTTTGTAGATCTTAGGTCTGTGTTTGACTGAAACTTCCTAGGCCCTAAGAGCTACTGAGCTTCCAGAATCTGCCGGGTTCATTTGAGAAAACAGTACTTTATATTTTGCAGAATCTATTCTCCATTTTTTCCTTTCATTTTTCTCATTACTTTTAACATCCCAAAGACCAACCCACCTTAAATTGTACTTTGAGTGTTGCTAATATCTTATTCTCTGTTCTAGTTAAATCTTTCTCATGTTATTTCTGTGTTCTTTTAAATACAATAGAAAATACATAAAATTAATGTTCTTACCACTCTAGTTACTGTTTCGGGGGGGACCTGGCATTTGTAGAGTACCTACTGGGTGCTGGGCATTGTGCTAAGTGCACTTTATATATTAACCAATCACCAGAACTCCACTTTCCATGTGAGGAAAAGAAGCCCAGGAACAATTCTCAGTTATCCCACTCATGCAAGCAGTTGAATGATGGGCAGAAGAGCTGGTTGCACATCAGGAAATGAGAGTGGTGATGTTTTGGAAGGACTTAGCTTCTTTTGTTTCCTATCAGCTTGTAAAAGAAAACTCTTTACTATTCGACCAAGGAGAATATAAGTATGGTAATTTAAGAATATATATAGGAACATAATGATAATTCTTCAATAGAATATCACAGGTTAAAGTAGACTCAAACTGTTCTCTTCCCTTAATGTTCTCCATAAAACAAAACACCCATGTTTATTTCCCAAATAAAACCCCAAATGCATCTGCTCACATGAAACATAATCACCCTTACTGACTTTGAAAGGTCTTTGGCCCTGTCTTGCCTGTCCTGTAGCATACAGGCCTTATAGACTTCAATACATTCTTACTCTTGTTTATTTTGCCTCTTTGATAACAGAAGGTGTATTTGAAGCTTCTCTTCCTTCCCCCAAGGATTCTGGGGCTTCGTCTGACATACTTTGGACATGTTGCCAGGAGGGACGGGTCCTTGGAGAGGGACATCATGCTTGGGAGGGTGGAGGGATG